GGTCTCAAACCCACAGGCTCAGGCAATCCACTCACCTCAGCCTCCCAAAGGTGCGGGATGACAGGCTGAGCCACCGAGCCCGGCAGTTCTTCTGTCTTTTTCTTCTTTTTTCCTCCTAATACCTTCACTTGCCTTCATTTTTCCCTTCTTTTTAATTCTTAAAAAATATGGAACGCTTCACGAATTTGCATGTCCTTTTAATTTTTTATTTATTTTTATTTTTATTTTATTTTAATTTTTTGGGGTGGAGGGTTGGAGTCTCACTCTGTTGCCCAGGCTGGAGAGCAGTGGCACACTCATGGTCACTGTGACCTCGACCTTCTGGGCTCCAGCTATCTTTCTGCCTCAGCCTTCCAAGTAGCTGGAACAACAGGCACTCACTACCATGCCCAGCTAATATTTTTTTGATTTATTATAGAGATGAGGTCTCACCAAGTTGCCCAGGCTGGTCTTGAACCCTCAGGCTCAGGTAGTCCACTCGCCTCAGCCTCCCAAAGTGCTGGGATTACAGGCTGAGCCACTGAGCCTGGTCTGTCCTTCTTTTGAAAAGTCAGATTTATTGAGGTGCAATTTACATACTGAGAAATTCTCCCTTTTTAGGTGTACAGTTACAAGTATATAAACTTTGAAAAACATATGCAGTCATGGACCCATCACCACAAAGCATATAATGTTTTTATCGCCCCTAAGAGTTTCTTCATTTCCTTTTGTAGTCAATCTTCTCATCCTATTTCTAGCCTATGACAACCACTAATCTGTTTAAAACATTTTTTTTTTTGATTTGGAGTCTCACTCTGTTGCGCAGAGAGGGCTCCAGAGACATGGGGTCGGTCTTGACCATCCTTCCACCTCAGACTCCTGAGTAACTGGGACTACAGGTACGCACCTCCATGACCGGCTAATTTAAAAATAATTTTTTTTTTTAGAGATGAGGTCTTGCCATGTTGCCCCATCTTGTCTTGAACTCCTGGGCTCAAGCAGTCCTCTTCAGTCTCCCAAAGTGCTCGGATTATAGGTGTGAGCCACCACACCTGGCCATTTATCTGTTTTCTGTCCCTATGGCTTTCGTCTTTTCCAGAAAGTCATATCGATAATACAACACAGTACATTGCCTTTGTGTTTGCTTTTGTGACCCATCCACATTGTTGCTGCATGTGTCAGTAGTTTGTTTCTTTTGATTGCTGAGTACTAGTCCCGTTGTATGGATGAAGCACAATTTATCTGTTTACCTGTTGATAGACATTTGGTTGTTTCCAGTTTTTGGCGATTATGAATGAAATTGCTATAAGCATTTGCCTACAGGTTTTTTAGTGAATCTATGTCTTCATTTCTCCTGGGTAAATACCTAAATGGGATTACTGAATCAAATACTAACTGTACATTTAACTTTTTAAGAAACTGCCAGACTGTCACGATTTGGTATCCTTGGGGTTTTTAAAATTTCTTTTTTATTATATTTTTGAGTTGGAGTCTCACTCTGTCACCCAGGTTGGAGTGCAATGGCACACTCACAGCCACTGCAGCCCCAACCTGCTGGGCCCAGGTGATCCTTCCACCTCAGCCTTCCAAGTAGCTGGAACCACAGGCATGAGCCACCACACCCAACTAATTTTTTATTTATTGTAGAGATGAGGTCTCGCTATGTTGCTCAGGCTAGTCTCAAACCCCTGAGCTCAGGTAATCCTCTTACCTCCACCTCCCAAAGTGCTGGGATTACAGGTATGAGCCACTGTGCCTGGCTAGGATTTTTTTTTAAAGAAGCCATTCTAGTAGGTATGTAGCGTTATCTTATTGAGGTTTCAATTTGCATTTCCCTAATGATTAAGACTGAGAGTTTTTCATGTCACTCTGGCCTGGACTGAGGTTGAGTGATTTGTAGAATAGACTAGATTAAAAAAAAAAAAGCTAAATAAAGAAACTATTCATTCATTATCTTGGAGCGATTAGAAAAGCCATAGGGCTTGCCAAGGATTTTGCCCAGGGCGGGGGGGGTGGGGGGGGGGGATCCACCTCTAGATAAAGGATAGAGCTGTCCTATGATTGTGCCTTGTGGAGTCTATTGTTCAGTGAAATGGCAATATCCCTCCTCCCTCCACACCTGCTCTACCTGGCCTTTGCGCCTCACTCTTGCTGCCTAGATGGTGCATCCCTCATTTTACACCTGCAGGATTTCCGTTTAAGCTAAATGCCACATCTTTTTGAAGGAGCCAGGATCTCCAGAAGCTTCCAAACAAAGCTTGCAATATGATGTGGAAAAAGTGCAGCCTTGTTTGGAGCTAGACTTGGGTTTGATTTTTTTTTTTTTTGAGTTTTTTCTTACTGCCTGTGTGACTTTGGGCAAATAACAGCTTTAAGTCCCAGCTTCCCCAAGTGTAAAATGGGGGATGATGATACTTACCTCAGAAGTAGACATTTGTTGTGCTAGAGATATCACCACCACCACCATCATCTTATTATTGTTATTATTATTATTAATTTTCTTCTATCAAAGGCTTACTTGACTGTACTATGGCAGATTTTCTCATCTCTCTCTCTAGTCATAAAGAGCAGGCTCTGTGACTTACGTCCCCTGTGCCCTGTCCCTGACAGTGTTGGCAAATACCAGTCCCTCAACACATTTGTTGAAATGGAGGGACCTCAAAAGGTTCTCAGGGAAGGAAGGTGGTCAGAGAGAGGTCGGGACCCCGAGGGACCGCCTATTTTCATCAAGCTGGGAGCTGCTTTTCTGGGGCAGGGACACTGAGTCAGCGCTTCCTTTCCACAGAACCAAGGGCTGAGCCTGGATCTTGTGGTTGAAATTACTGCGGGGCTGTCTGGACACGTGGGTTTGACAGGTCAGGAAAAGAGGGAACCAAGATAGAAGATGTTCAGAAAAAAAGGACGGCGAGGACAGACTGAGAAGGAGGAAACTCAAGTGGAGAGAGCTGGCTGAGACGTGGGCGCAGTGACGGAGCCGGGATGCCGGGTGAGGATGGGGGCGGGACGAGACGCTGCGAGGGCTTCGGGCCCGGGAGACTGGGAGGCGGTGGGGGAGAGATGGGGTGGGACGACGCTCCGACGCAGAAGGAAGAGCGCGGAGGCGCCAGGCGGG